CCAGAGAGAAAGCATTGATCTATCACTGATAGAAGTCTATCTGTAGGGCGGCGTCATGGCTCACTTGGCTGATCCTCTGCCTGCAGCGCTGGCACCCTGGGTTCTAGTCCCAGTTGGGGCACCGGATTCTGTCCCAGTTGCTCCTCTTCCAGTCCAGCTCTCTGCTGTGGCCCGGGAGTGCAGTGGAGGATGGCCCAAGTCCTTGGGCCCTGCACCCGCATGGGAGACCAGGAGGAAGCACCTGGCTCCTGGCTTCGGATCAGCGCGGTGTGCTGGCCACAGCACGCTGGCCGCAGCAGCCATTGCGGGGTGAACCAACGGAAAAAGGAAGACCTTTCTCTCTGTCTCTCTCTCTCACTGTCCACTCTGCCTATAAAAAAAAAAAAAAAAGACATACAGATTTAAAAGGAAAATGGTAGTGCAAATCACAGCCAATTCTCACTCATCAGTCTATAGACTGTAACCATCAGTTTTGTTGAGTATGAAAACAAAGAGCTACACAATAGAAGATTATGCTCTCTTAGAGCTGAGGTAAATTAAACTTTTGGAAATGTGTTAAAGCAATAGTAAATATCAACAAAACAAAGGGAAAGGATAAAACTAAATATTTTGACTATAAAAAACAGTAAAAATTATATAATAAAAAGTTAAGCTAAACTGTCAGCTTAAAAAATAAAAACTAAATAAAAATGAAGAAAACTATTAAGAAAGAGCTAGAATATTTCAAAAGTTAAAACAACAAAGCAAAAGCATCAAATTATACCACCCCTGTCCATCTGTGTTGTATCATAGACCTCTGTTTGGGAAGAGTTTAAATCTTGGCTCACTCTGCCTTTCTCCACCACTGCTCTTCTGATAATTCTTAGTGAATTCAGTATCCACACAAATAGTTAGTTCTCTTTGCCTGACAATTCCTTGGTCACATATTGATCTAGTACTATATATTTCATCCACTAATTCCCATGATTATCCCATGGAAATTACAATCATTATCACCTAATAATTCCTCCATGACCTCTTTGTGTCACCTAGAATTTGGACTCGCTCTCTGGGCCTTCTCCTTGCCCTTCGCGATCTGGTGCAGTTCTGTGGAAGGAAGGGGCACGCCTCACCCCCAGTGAAACATGGGATACATGTTGCTTAGGAGAAGGTTTCACAGAGATAACCTAGTGGAGAAAGGAAGGGCTGGAGTAGGGGAGGGAGGTGGAGGGAAGCGAGACCAATTCTACACCTGTGGGGGCAGCAGCTGCTTTGGGTGGGCACTTTCAGGGAAGAAGAATCCCAGCAGGCCCAGGCCAGTCGATGACCGCTCACACCAGCTCATCTGCTACTCTGGCAGCAGGGTAGTCAGCAATAGCTGAGCCTGGTAGCCTTGGCTGGATGAGTCACAGACCAAAAGTTCCATCTGCTCTGAAGTCGCTGGAAGGTGTTGAAGTTTCTCTTCTCCATCTTGAATTTTTTTACCTTCTTTTCCTTCCCTCCATCAAATTCATCATCCCAGGCATCAACCATGCTCTGGGTCAGGGCCAGCCTGCTGTCTTCAGTAGCATCCCTGCTGACTGCAGACACTTCCCCATCCCATGTCAAAACTTTTTTACCATAAGCTCTATCTGATGAACATTTGAGCAACTCCTGAACCACATCGGATTTTTGCTTTCTGTTCCAGCAACATTCCCCTCTTCTTGAAATATTTACTGGGAGGGGAAACTGCAAGAGAGTTAGGCTTTGAGAGGAGGATCAGGAGTTCAGCTTAGTAATATGAGGTTCTCACTCACTCATGATAATTTGTGCCATGAATATAAGATAAAAACATTGAAAACTGATCCACATAAACCAAGGAAAAGCACCACTTGCTATTCTTACAGTTAATATTGCAGCACTGGGTTAAGTCCCAACACCTCCACGTATGGCCCAGTTTCTTGCCAGTGCACCCAGGAAGGCAGTAGAAGATGACCCAAGTACTTGAGTCTCTGCAACCAGTGTGAGTCCAGGTTGGAGTTCCTGGATCCTGGCCTTGCCTTAGCCCAACCATTTGGGGAGTGAACCAGAAGACTGAAGAGCTGTTTGTCTCTGTCTCTGCCTCTTTCTTGGTTTCTCTGCCTTTCAAATAAATAAATAAATTATTTTAAAACCCCAAGGAAAAATAATGTATAGAAATAATGTAGGGAGAGGAATTAGTAAATGACCTGAAAATTTAAACCAAAATTTATGAAAAGAATTGTATTTCCTTTATTCTCAACAAAATGTTACATTTGCATATGAGCATTAACAGAAAAAACAAAGTGAATCAGTGTTGATTTTCTAAAATTATTTGAAAAATTATACATGTCCTTCATTTTACAGCTTTTTAAAAAATGCTTTGCCTCTAGATTTTCTTTAATTTTTTAAAATATTTATTTATTTGAAAGTTAGAGCTACACAAAGAGAAGAAGAGGTGGGGGGGGTCTTCCACCCGCTAGCTCACTCCCGAATTGGCCTCAATGGCTGGAACTGCGCCTATCCAAAGCCAGGAGCTTCTTCTGGATCTCCCACATGGGTGCAAGGACAAGCACTAGGGCCATCTTCCACTGCTTTCCCAGGCTATAGCTGAGAGCTAGATCTGAAGTGGAGCAGCCATATAGGATGCCAGCACTTCAGGCAGCAGCTTTACCCACTATTCCATGGCACCAGCCCCTCACAAGGAGTTTTACAGAATGATAATAAACAGAATAATTCTCATGGAAAAGTTGGAAAGTGTCATCTAAAAGAGATTTCTAATCCTTTGATTTTTTTCAAATCATATCATTTAGCTGTGTCTAACAAAGTAGATTTAAACTATGTTGGATTCTTACTTGAAAATTATTGTGCCTGTAATTAAAACAAGTTTCCAGCATCACTGTCACTGACTCCATGAAGTCCTGCATCCTTGTAGGATTTGCAACTTCACGTTGCCTTTTGGTCCCACTGCCCACCTGGCTGGATTCAAAGGATAGCACGTATGTTAAGCAAAAAGAAAGTTTAAGGATTCATTTGTGAGTGATTGGCTCATTCAGGACTATGATTATGTTATGAAAATTTTTGTTCTATACATAATATCATAAATGCAAGTACTTGGACAGTAAACCAAATAAAAGGGTTCCCTGAAAATAGCACTTGAAAGCAATCCATGGAGAAATGATCAAGCAAATCATTGTGAATGTTACACCTCATTGTGAATACCATGGTAAATGAATAAAGTAAGCCCATGTATTTCATGGAAAACATCCTGAGTTAGTAGGTAAACACTATGGATTAATGAAGATGAGTTAAAAGTACTGCCTCTTCCTCTTAATGTGTTTAATATGTGTGTGGGGGGGGAACACTTGTGAAGGGAAGTAAGCCTGGGAACCTCCTTTTTTTTAAAAAAAAAGTGTACTCCTTTATTACACAGGATATTTTAAAACATACAAAGGAAGAGCCAGATGAAACAATACACAGGGCGAGGTCTGGAAGGGTCCCGAGCTACAGGAGGTTTCGTCCCTGTGAAGTTGGGATGGGATCCTCATGCACGCCTAGCTGGAAACTCAGGGTTTCTCACCATTCATTCCATGCGTGTCTGTGTGCTTCTGTTGGGTCTGCTTCTTTACACAGACCACATAGCTATGCACTACTCAGATAATTAAACTTTACACATCATCAAATATATTAAAAGTTAAAGGTTAGAAAGATAAAAGTATACAGTAAGAGAAGGCAAATTATCAGCAGATAAGGCAAATGCTAAAAATATAAATAAGTGGAAATATAATCAAAATGTTTAAAAAGGACAATTATAAAAGTATAGTATGGTGCCTGGCACTGTGGCTCACTAGGTTAATACTCCGCCTGCGGCGCTGGCATCCCATATGGGTGCTGGGTTCTAGTCCCGGATGCTCCTCTTCCAGTCCAGCTCTCTGCTGTGGCCCAGGAAGGCAGTGGAGGATAGCCCAAGTGCTAGGGCGCCTGCACCCATGTGGGAGACCAGGAAAAAGCACCTGGCTCCTGGCTTCGGATCAGCGCAGTGCTGGCCATGGCGGCCATTTGGGGGATGAACCAACGGAAGGAAGACCTTTCTCTCTGTCTCTCTCTCTCACTGTCTGTAACTCTACCTGTCAAATAAATAAATAAAATCTTAAAAAAAATTATAGAGTACATACAAAGTATTTGAGTATATTTTTAAAAAAGAAAATGGAGTTAAAAAGGCAGCCAAGACACTGAAAATGATGAGAGAAAGGATTTCAGGATGAAGCAAAGAAAATTAAAAGTTAAAAATAAGCAAATTTAGAAACTGGGAAATATTTCTTTTAAAAGGTATAAGAAGGGAGGCTGCACTGCAGCTCAGTAGGCTAATCCTCCGCCTTGCAGCACCGGCACACCAGGTTCTAGTCCCGGTCGGGGTGCCGGATTCTGTTGCGGTTGCCCTTCTTCCAGGCCAGCTCTCTGCTGTGGCCAGGGAGTGCAGTGGAGGATGGCCCAAGTGCTTGGGCCCTGCACCCCATGGGAGACCAGGAGAAGCACCTGGCTCCTGCCTCTGGATCAGCGCGGTGCACCGGCCACAGGGCGCCAGCCGCGGCGGCCATTGGAGGGTGAACCAACGGCAAAGGAAGACCTTTCTCTCTGTCTCTCTCACTGTCCACTCTGCCTGTCAAAAAAATTTTTAAAAAGTATAAGAAGGCAGTGGTCAAGATTCAAAAACTCAGCATCTTATACAGAAATAATAATGATTCTTCACACTGGAATTTCAAGCGAGTTCCTGAACATCTGCTGTTTGACAGAGCATTTGGAATGTCTTACAAAAATGTTCTCAGCAGGATTATCTCCGAGATGAAGGGTTGAGCAGAATGTCAAGCCCTGCTTCCCCTGGTGGCTCCAACAGCAGCCCCAGCCTTCTCAGGCACCTGTGGAGACGCTCCTATACCTGAGGAGGGCGCCCTCTGCTGGCCATACTCTCTCACCCCAAGCTTAACCCTTCCACCATCAAAAATGTTTTGTTCTGATTGTTTCAGATCTTTGACTTTTCTCTCACTGAAGAAGAAATGAAGGACATTGAAGCTTTGAATAAAAATGTTCGATATGTGGAACTGCTCATGTAAGTTTTGGGGGATTGTTCATCAGAAATTTCCCAGTGGCCAATAGGGCTTGTACATACCCTGACCCATGTGTGCACAGAAAACACTGGCTCAAGGATAGTGGGTTGCATGTTCTGAATATTAAACACGCCTGGGTGAGATATGTACATGTGGGGAGAAGAGTATGGGCAACAGAGGGACTGAGTGGGACTGGAGAATGATCCATGAAATTGTCAGTGACTTGGGTACCGGCATAGCTGTGTGACTTTTAGAGTGAATTTTTCCCTCTGGGGTTGTTTTGGCAGGTGGCGTGACCATCCAGAATATCCATTCCATGACGACTACTGACTTCAGGGAATGTCTGCACAGATTGTTCCTCCCCCTTAGTGCCCAGACCCTGAGATGCGTGGTTCCCACAGAGGTGGGCATGAAACGGGCTGTATAATCCTCAGACCAAGTGTTAATTGAATCACACTTTTTCCTGATATAAGTGACTTTGATTTAGCCAAGAGGGAAGAAAAAAAAAAGTTCCAAACCCGGGTTAAATTAATTATTTTGGAAAGTTTTTCCGGGTAATATTTTATTGAACAAAAATTTTTTAAAGTCCCCGGCTTGAAAACATCATGCTTTAAACAAGATTTCAAAAGCAACATACAGCCGGCGCCGCGGCTCACTAGGCTAATCCTCCGCCTAGCGGCGCCGGCACACCGGGTTCTAGTCCCGGTCGGGGCGCCGGATTCTGTCCCGGTTGCCCCTCTTCCAGGCCAGCCCTCTGCTGTGGCCAGGGAGTGCAGTGGAGGATGGCCCAGGTGCTTGGGCCCTGCACCCCATGGGAGACCAGGAGAAGCACCTGGCTCCTGGCTCCTGCCATCGGATCAGCGCGGTGCGCCGGCCGCAGCGCGCCAGCCGCGGCGGCCATTGGAGGGTGAACCAACGGCAAAAGGAAGACCTTTCTCTCTGTCTCTCTCTCTCACTGTCCACTCTGCCTGTCAAAAAATAAAAAATAAAAAAAAAAAAAAGCAACATACAAAGACAGTAACTCATAAAGCTGGATACCGCCATCAGTACTTAGTTCTTTAGCAGTTAACAGGACAACAGAGAGGGAAGAGAGCTGGCAGGTGCTGGCAGTAGCCTAGTAATGCCCCAGAGACAGTTGAGATCAATGTTTGCCCTAACAACAAGGATTGATTTACTGCACCTTGAGTACACACAGAGGGATAAGTGCAGAAAAGTCTTAGAGCATCATGAATATACCAGTAGCCAGCAAAGCACTCAGGATATCGTTGCTATTTTTGTTTCCATCCAATTTGTGTTTTTGTAGCTTTTATCCAACTTGAAGGATGGATTATTACTGGTTCCCTCTTGCATCCCTTCCAGGGCCTGAGATCTCACACAACAAGTGACCCACACTGGCTCTTTCTTATCATCCTCCATGAAGTGTCTTAAGACAAAAAAAACCCACACAAATAAACTATATATCATGAAATTGGTCCAAAATTGCTGTTTTAAAAGAAAATCTTTTAAAAAAAGGCTTTTAAAAGAAGATAATTTGTAAAATTATTGTACTTAGGACTAAGTGCGTTATTTAGATTGCTATGTGAAATTTGAGAAAGTAGCAAGTTGAAAAGCAGATTGGTAATTTTACTATACATAAACTTTTGAAAAGTGAGTAAAAATATTAGAATTCAGCAATAGAGACCCAGCTATTTACAATTCACCGAGAGAGATGTGTATTTTATTTGTAATAAGTACTCACAGTTTTCAGCAATTATATTTTTTCAAGGTCAGTTGTTTATTTATCACCTTCAGTGCTGAAGACATATATTTTGAGAATTTACCACTGTAAATGCTTTTATGTATACTCTTTGTTTTGCCTGATGCTAATATAAACACCTACAGTGCTGTCTTAGGAAAATATTTTTTTTCTGCCACATGAATTTCCATTCATTCTCTAAGGTAAGGGGATTTGATTCAGTGAAAGGGCCTTTGGTTGAGCCTGCACTGTCAATTTATTATTGGGAGGAGAGGTTAAGGGGTACCACACTGCAAGAGCAGAAAGCTGAGTCCTGACCCTGCTGTCCCAGCCCTACAAATGCCCCAGAGGTCCTGCCCGGAGACAGAACAGAGACAACACCTATCAGACTGCTCTTGAAAGGATGCCATTGGAAAAGTGTCTCACCATCTTGTGTCCCCACAAAGTTCCTATGTTGAAGTCCTAGCACCCAGACCCCAGAATGTGGCCTTATTGGAACATAGGGTTATTGCATATATAATTAATTAGATGAGGTCGTACAGACAAAACCAGGAGAAATTCACCCTGTGAAGATGAGGCAGACTGGGGTAACACCTCCATAAGCCAAGGAACACCAAAGACAGCCGGCCACTACCAGGAACCTGGCAGGAGGCATGGTGCACGTGCTCCGTACAGACCTCAGAAGGAACCCCCACCCCTATGCTGACACCTGACTGCAGACTCCAGCCCCCCTGGTCGTGAAACAACGGATTTCTGTGGGTTGAGCCCCCCGTTGGGTGGCACTTTGCTATGGAGGCCTGCAGAGTAACACCATTCTTCAGTAGAGATTTCCAGTCCCTCCAGCTGACATCTGCAGTAAAAATCGGCTAAGCCCAAGGATTGATAACCAGTAGTCATGACCTTCCTGGGGACTTTTGCAACCCCAAAGTGATGTTTGCCTTTAGAAAAGTCAGTATTTCTAGTGTATGGCCTTTGATCAGCTATGGAGTAAGAGCCAGGACTTCCTGCCCCAGCCTGCACAATGGTTCTTGGCCTGCCTACCCTAACTGTTGCCACAAGGGCCTTCCCTGGGCAGTCCACAGCACAGTCACAGACAGTCCACAGCACTGGGGTGCCGGGAGAGTGGCAAGGCAACAATGCCATGTCCTCAGCCTTCAACACTTTGTCGTGTGCACATTTTGAGGCCAGTTATGAGGATTCATGAAGGTTGAACAACTTGCATGTCCCAGACTTGCCTTCTCTCTCTGGAACTCGTAACTTTCAGGCTTCCACTGCTGACTTCCCCCATTTCTGACCATTGCAGGGTAATAATGGAATCTGGTATCTTGTGGAGCCCTGGTCCTTAACTATGAACCTCCCTCAACTTTGAACTGTAGTCTTGATGCTTCTGCCTCCACATACCAGATCTCCAAGTTCTGTTTCATTTCATTCAAGAGAACAGGCTAAGAGAGTGACACCTCACTAGTAGGCTCACCCTCTCACAAGGGCATCTGATGGAAGCCTTTCTCACTGGGTAACATCTCCTCTGGCAGAGCCATACAATGTAGGGGGATTCCCACCATTCTGTGGTCTCCTCAGGGTCCCAGCTTGAGGTCAGGCTGCCCTCCAGCATTGGGGCAGACCTCTCCTTTTGCAAGGTGCATGATGACTTGACTCAGCAGCTAGAGGTTGCTGCAAGCTTATCAGACCCTCTCATAAAGGCCACATTCTCTTCCTTGCTTTCCATGCACCTCCTCCTTAAACCAAATCTTTTTTTTGTCAAGATTTAACTGAAGGCCAAAGGAAGCATCTACCACAGATCTTCTACCCCCGTCCTAAAACTGAGTATTGTCCAGCTAATGGTCTAAGTTGCAAAATGTAAGCATGTAACCTGTTGTTTTCAATGATAGGCAATGTATCCCACACTGTGCTTCAGACACGTTAACTCCATCATTTCTGAATTTCATGGATTGCCACTTGCCCTGCCTCACTTCCAGCTAGCTGTTTTTGCAACAGGATTTTTTTTAGTTGATAATGGAATTCTAACTCATTCTAATTTAAGCAGAAAAAATGAGTTCAAAATTCCCAAGAATTGGCACCAAAGAAACACATGGATAAGGTGGCTGTAATCAGCTAGAGCTAGAGCTCAAACAACCTGCTCACAATTTGCATGTTTTTTATTCTTCAGACATGTTGTCTCCCAACAGATAACAAGCCAGTGCTCAATAACCTTGAGCTCTCCTATGGCCAGCTTATGAGAGTCATTTATAAGAGTACTGCAGGGGAAATAAGTCCTGGCAAGAGCTCTTTTTGACCAGTGCACATCATACTTGAGGCAAGCACAATGTCCTGTGACAGCCATACTGTCAGGACCTGGGATATAAACTAATCCCTGAGCTTAGGAAGGAAAGAGGAGGGACATGGAGACTGAGAGAGTAAAAAGAGACAGCAAGAGGATGGGAGGAGGTGGAAAGAGAGGAACATGGAGGAGAAATGAAGGGTCCCACCTCCTTCAGCCCCAACTGAATTCTAAGGAGTAGATTCTCCTAAGAAGGAGGGAAGTATTCCAAGCAGACAAAATAGCAGATGTCCACACAAGTACTTTCAGTGTGTTGGAGCAAAAGGTGGTTTTAAAAATGATTTATTTATTTATTTATTTGAGAGGCAGAGTTACAAAGAGAGAGAGAGAGGTCTTCCATCCGCTGGTTCAGTCCCCAAATGGCCGCATGGCCAGGGATGCACTGATCCAAAGCCAGGAGCCAGGAGCTTCTTACGGATCTCCCATGTGGGTGCAGGGGCCCAAGCACTTGGGCCATCTTGTGCTGCTTTCCAAGGAGCATTAACAGGGAGCTGGATCAGAAATGGAGAAGCCAGGATTCAAACCATCGTCCATATGGGATGCCGCCATAAGCAGAGGCTTAACCTGCTACACCACATCGCCAATCCCAGAGCAAAAGGTTTTAGTTTTTGCTCCATTACTTCAGATTTAAAAAAAAAAATGAAACCATGGAGATCTGTACCAGCACTGAAATTCAGGATTGACTACCTATTAGAGTGTGTAAATGATAAAGTATCAAAGTATAATTTTCAAAACCCTAAGATGAGGGTGGACATCTGGACAGTACATAGTATCTCTCTGACCACTGATGGGACTGGGGATGAGTGACTAAGATCACCCTGTGGGATCTGTATGACGAAGTCCCAATAAAAATGGTCAGCTCAAAGCGGCAGTGAGTTTTTCTGGCCGACTTACTCTGAAGGTGGTGTCACACATCATTGCTAGGAGAAGCACACTTTGCCCATGCAGCTCTACTGAAAGAGAACATCTGGAACTTTGTGCCTGGTCCTTCTCCTGGACTCTTCTCTGTGCTCCTTTTAACCCCTGGCTCACTTTCATCTGCATCCTTTCACAATAATGAACCATAACCATGACTATAACAGCTCTTCTGAGTTCTGTGACTCCTACTAGCAGTTGAAATTTAGGGTGATCTTGGGGACTGCTTAGCATAAATAGTTATGGCTCCCTGGAGAACCAGATAGTCCTTAAGGAAGTTGCTAGACAGTGTCCATCACAGCACTGACAGTGTACACAACAGTTCCTTTCACCCATGAAAAGTTAGGGTTCTTTTTTTCATTTTTATTTATTCCTATTTTCTATTTGAAAGACAGAAACAGAGATAGAGACCAAGAGACAGAGTGATATATTCCAAACACTGGTTACTCTCCACATCTCTGCAATAGATAGGGGTGGAATAGGCAGAAGCCAGG